GTACTTTTAGGTTTAGAAATGTCTAAATGATTACTGTCTATGATGATGATGATGAAATGATTAGCATACTGGGTTGCTGAAATGCTGTTAAACACTTTTAATTTTTAGCTAAAATGCGTTATAAGGGTGACAGTCAAACCTACTATTCGGGCCTGGCATGGCCAAGTAGTTAGGGAGCTCGACTCGCAATGTGAGGGTCGCGGGTTCGAATCCCCGTCACCAAACATACTCGTGGAGCAGTTATAATGTTGCGGTCAATCCCACTATTCGTAGTTAAAAGAGTATCCCAAGAGTTGGCGGTGGGTGTTAATGACTAGCTGCCTTCCCTCGAGTCTTTCACTGCTAAATTAGAGACGGCTAGCGCAGATAGCCCTCATGTAGCTTTGCGCGAAATTCAAAACTAACAAACCTACTATTCGTTCAAAACTTGATACAGCCCTTCTAGTAGCAGGCTCTGCTGACTATTCTCTTATCTTCTAGCTCTTGTTCAAAATTAATAACGACCACACCTTAACTCTAGGTGTCTTTGAACTGTGTCGCATATAAAGTACTTCCAAGTTTTATCTTTCTTTAATATTGAGCACGAATATATTTCCAACAACAACAAAACTCATGTGTTAGGTGAAATAAGTTTTCAAGTTTGCTTTTACAGAAAGAAAGAAGCGTTGTAGGTTTGTTCTGTTTAATCCTAGTTTTAACATTAGAATATAAATTCATCATATCCTAAATATAACGAACATTGAAGAGATTAACTTTTAACAGTATTACTCGTTATCTATTTTATCTTCTTACTGGTAAAAACAAGTCATACGATTTTGGAGAAATTTATTTTACTTATAAAATCAACTTTGTGCGTTAATGTGGTTACGTCAATACCTCAAAGATGGCAGCCATATAGCTAAACGAAGCGAATGGCTAGATCACATCATCATGACTTAATCTTGCAGACGTTTGGCGCATAATATATATTTCTGGATTTATACACGCTAAAAAGTAATCCCAATGATTGGCATTACTCAGAAGATAAAAAATAAAGTTAATAACTATGAAAGTTGTTTTAAAGTATTGGAGTGTTTTATAAAGATGTTTCTTAGTTTTATAACTTAACATTGTTTATAAACTTAATACTCTTACAAAATATGTACTTCCTAACCTTGTACAGTATGATCTATAAAGATTAATACCAGTCTTATTCATTTTGTAAAAGCAGTTGTCCTTTGTTCGTTACATTAAATCATCGAACGGGACACATATAATATTTAACAATGTACACCACTTTCCCCGAGCCCCCAAAGCGCCTTACTAATGAAACACCAACTGAACAAGATGTGACTCAAACACTTTCCTGTGTGTGACGCAGCTTGCCACATGGTTTGTCGTTCACGTGGTGTAAATGCTGGTAAGCGTAAGGATACAATAGACAATTTCCGAAGCCGGCAAGGATAAGGCCGTAATCGACTATTGTTTATCACTTTTATGAACTCTTCGCTTCAAAGAACATTTAGATTTTATAATTTTATTTTCTGATTCTTATTATTATTATGTCCTGGCAAACGTACGTTGATGATCAGATCTGCTCTCGTGTCCAATGCAGAATAGCAGTAATTGCAGGGCTTGGTGATGGAGGAATTTGGGCAAAGCGAGAAAATGATCAAAACTTGCAGGTTAGACTTTAGACGTTTAGTTTAAATGAGTTCAATTACGTTTATTATATTGGAGCCTAAATAATATTATAATTCATAACATTGCAATTAATAATAGTATCACTAACAGTAACATTGATAATATTAATTATTATTTAGATAACTTTCATTTGATCAGAAGAAGTTTAACAGTTGAAGTTTAAAAATTAAACTAAAAATTGTACTGTACTTGTATTTGTAGCTGTAAGTTGTAAAGTGACTTGTAAGTAAAATACTATGTAACTTGTAAGGAAAATTTTATTATAATTCATAATTATCAAAGTAAAAGTTGTACTAGTAGTTAATTTCCTAATAAATTACAAAACCTTGTAATAGAATTAGGTAACATACGTTTAGATTAAGGTTTTCTTACTTAGATAGTATGGTATTCAAATTTCAAGAGGAGAAGGATTAGCAACAGTTATTTGCTTTAAAAAATGTAATCATAACTAATACTAATAGAACACAGCCATTAAAGTGCTTTAAACATATTTTTTCTTCTTTGAATTAGTATTGCTATTTTAAAATTCATTGGAAATTTAATTTAGAACTGCTGACCAAATGGAGGGTAACAAGTCAGCAGCACCTAACATCTATTAATATTTTATGTTGCTACTCTTATTGAAAACGAAATATTACTTATCACTGTTAATAGTGTTATCAGGATTGTCTGTCAGTGTCATGGCCAAAAAGTTTGTTAACAATAACAGTGAGGGTACCCAAATAGTGAAACAATGCATTTTAGTCTTTACAAGTAAGGACATGTATTTAGTTAGCTGTACTCATTAACTAGGTTGATTAGTAGTTTTTCTCTGATTAGAAATTGATATCAATACTCATAATTATGATGCCTCAACTTTAGTGCAGAACACGATGAGCTACATATCGCATCCTTTTTAGTCATTTTTATGTTAATGATTTTGATAATTATTTCACTTGCAAATTAACCAGATATGCTGATTATACTTATTTTCTATGTAAATATGATACTGAAAAAAGCATGTACCATTTTTTTTAAATTTAGATGAACTGCACAGTCTTATGAATAAGAGTAGACAAGAGATTGAAAAAATGTGGCTGTATAATAAAAGTGAAATGGTGTACTCGGGATACAGAAACTTGGAAATATATTTTTTAAATGATAATATTACTGCTTTGGAGAAAGAGAAGGATTTAGGAGTAATTCTTTTTTTTTTTCTCATAGCAAGAGGAATAGACAAACATAAAGTCTTTGTGAAACACTAAAATAACAGTAATTATTTGATATTTGGCTGTTCTTGTCCAAGAGTTCAACACCGCCTTTCCAAAATCCTGTATGCACCTCTGAAAGTTTCATATTTTTTATCTCTGAATATACTAATAGTTAGAAAATGGAAACGATAATGATATTTGTTTAAAACTTCGAGTTATGTAAGGAAATTGAAGACTTGGACAAATTCATTAGAACATTAAAGAACTAGCGACAATTTATTTAAATTTCTTTTAAGTTTTTCCATTAAATCTGTGCATGTGTGTGTGTATATTAGGATAAAAAAAATGCATTTCAATAATATTAAAATATGACAAGGGGCTTTTTAGTCCATTTGAAGTCTTAACTGTTCTATCCACAAAATGATACCTTAAAAAATAGAGATAAACCAGAACCATACTTGTACCATTATCTACATATGCATTAACCTCTTCAAATAATGTCAAAAAATGAGTAAGGCAAAATTTTCTATCTAATAAAACCATCCTAACTATCCAACAAAATTTTACATTTTGTTAAATGACTTTTGAAACCTTTTCCCACAACTGGTATGAGACTAAGTCTATAATTACTAGGACAATTTTACCACCTACCTTGAAAAGAGGAGTAACATTAGCCAACTTCCAATAATCTGACACCTGCTGACTATTCAAGGTCTCTTATTTAGTCCTTAACCTCTTTCAAAACCCATGGGTAAATGTCATCTGGCTCAATTTTTTTCTAAACAAGCTTAGAATTAATGTGATCATCTTCTTCAATGTTGTTTCCATCCCTCAACTGTCCAGGTTGAGGAATATTGCTTAAACACCTTCATTAGTAAAAACTGAAGAAAAAGTTTGTTTTAAACTGTAGATGTACCAATATCACTCTTTGGCTGATAATTCATACAGATATATTTGAAAAAATATCTGCAAATACCAGTAACAAAGGACTTATTGTGATCTAAGGAGAGAGACTAGCCTGGTGAATAATTAATCTACTAATTCTTTCATTTTCAGAATAATAAGTATGAGTCTGCAGCCTATAGTAATAACAAGCATAACAGCGAACAGTGATCATTTCATCTATATCACCTCATACAGAAAACTGTGTCTTAGACTGGGCCAGACTTTTAGCATAAAATACATAGGATTATGTATTCTTATGTAGTCATAAATTCCTTGTTTGTATTTATTGTTCACACTGTGTTCAATGTTATTCCTAAAAGTACTTAAGCTTCTTGTTCTAGAATTGTATGGAAAAAATCCAGGAAAAACTGTTTCATAACATTCATTGTCTGTGAAAAGTTCTAAATATTTCTTAAGTGTTATGTATTAGCCTATATGGAATGTTCAGTGTACAGTGTGTAGAGAGAGCAAGAGATGTCTAAGCATTTCCCTTATATTAGTTACTATGTAGAAATTTCTGGAAGTAACCTGTGCATAATTTACTAGTACTAGTAAAAATTTCTAGATGTTTGAAGATAGGCTTATTGTGTATATAAAGGCAGTAGATCATCAGTCAGTAAAGTGAGGTTAGGTCATTATCAGTCTAGCTAATGTGTTTAGTAATACAATCATCTTCTCTCTGGCCTGTATAATAAATTGCTGATGATGTAACATCTACGTCAGAGAATGTTTCATGGGCATACTGCAAGGAATGTTTTAAGACTTTTTTAGTCTAATAAATTAAGTATAGATTCAAAGCACTGTAAAGCACAACTAGTGATTTAAAGTTGCCTATGGCATTGTTTTTTTTCCATGAATGGATTCCAGAAGAGCATAAGTGTAAAATGTCTTGGACACAAATATCTATGGAAGGAATGAACCCAAAAAAAGGCAGATAATCTCAAATATGAAGTCAAATTTCCAATGAATATAACTGAATTTGTATTTACAATTGAAAGGCTTTGTTTATGACAGGAAGCCAGCTAAAGCTGCAAAGCTTGTATCAGGTAAGATTTGTTGTTTTTGAGTCATTTGAGCAAGTTACAAAGGGGTGTAATGGAGATGATACTAATGCATCATTAATTATACCATCCATTGTTTCATTATTAAAATGCTTTGAAAAATGCGAGCACTTCCAAAATAGTATCTCACCTCCTGACACAAAATAGCTTAATTCCTGTTGCATCTGCCTATGAGATTTGTATGCAACTAGCCTTGAGCTAATTCCTACCTAAAAATCACATGTTGAATATGAACTGTGCTAGTGCATGATGACAACTTATGATTATAGTCCTCCACCAGTAGGAGAACAACGTAATCTCTTGTGCAGTCGACTCCCCTTAAGCTACTTTCACTTAC